CTTCCAGAATGATCTTTCTGACCCAAATATCTGGTATTACTCTCTTGCTTCAATAATTTCTCATCATCTGAAGCAGAAGTAGCAATTGCCAAAGCTCTCAGGGGCCAGACAGGTAGCACCAAGTGACAACTGAACAAAGCAGATTAGATGGGGACTATTGCAGAGTGGTGACATTAGAGCCTGTCAAATGTGAGAAAATGTGGCCAGAACTTCCAGGTCTTCAAAAGAGACTGGAAATCCAGATTTTATGTGAAATCGTTTAGCTTTTAAATGTCAACAAATAATTCATCAAGTTTTAAAGCACGGCATAAGCCAAACAAGCCACTTGTGTAGTCTGTGAACAATCAACTTGTGAACTCTGACCTGATAGGATAAGATCCAGATTCCTTAGAATGGCATAAAAGATTCTTCATGATCTATTTTCTGCCTACCTTACCAACCATATCTCTTGCCCATTCTTCCTGCCCCCCCCCCCAAAAAAAAGTATACTTCATCAATTCTGAGTTACTCTCCACATTCAGAAAAAAAGTGTAGCATTATTTTCCTTTGTGCTTTTGCTTCTATTCCTGCACATAGAGTGTCCTCCCTAACTCACATTGCATCACTTCCAAATACCTCATTCAATTCTCCCTTGATTAGTCACCTAGCTTAAGTGTCACCTCCTCCTGGAAGCCATCTGTTTCCCTACCACTCCCCTCCCTTGCCATTTGGAATCCATGTCTCTTGGATAGGTTCCTAAAGCATTAAGTAGATCCTAGTCATTAATTGAAATAAAGCCTATAAGAGAAGGAAGTGTATGTGAGGGGATATTAAGTTCCATTTCATGTGTGTTAGGCTTGAAGATTTCATGTCAGTAGGCAGTTGTGTAAATAGGTATGGGCCTTAGGTGCAATATTTTGCCTTGAGGTGGGGATCTGAGAAAAATTAAATAGAAAAGAGAGCTAAAGATGAAACCTGTGAAATAAGATGTAGGCAAAGAAAAAGGGGGCTTATAATAGGAGTCTGAAAAGTAATTAGAGAGTTAGGAAAACCCAGAAGAAAGTAGTATCATGGAAGACAAGGGAAAATTTCCAGAGGGAGGAAATATTCACCATGGTCAAATAATGTAAAGCACCCTTTGGATTTAGCAAAGACATCAGTGCTAATCCTGATAAAACTAGTTTAAAGGAAGGTGGTTGTTGAACCAAACTTGAGTGGACTGAGGAATGAACAGAAAACATGGATATATGTAGAAAGCTGAAACTGGATCCCTTCCTTACAACTTATACAAAAATCAATTCAAGATGGAGTAAAGACTTAAATGTTAGACCTAAAACCATAAAAACCCTATAAGAAAACCCAGGCAATACCATGCAGGACATAGGCATGGGCAAGGACTTCAGGACTAAAATAGCCAAAGCAATGGCAACAGAAGCAAAAATAGACAAATGGGATCTAATTAAACTAAAGAGCTTCTGCTCAGCAAAAGAAACTGCCATCAGAATGAACAGGCAACCTGCAGAACGGGAGAAAATTTTTGCAATCTACCCATCTGACAAAGGACTAATATCCAGAATCTACAAAAACTTAAACAAATTTACAAGAAAAAAACCAAACAACCCCATCGAAAAGTGGGCAAAAGATATGAACAGACACTTCTCAAAAGAAGACATTCATGCAGCCGAGAGACACATGAAAAAATGCTCACCAACACTGGTCATCAGAGAAATGCAAATCAAAACCACAATGAGATACCATCTCACGCCAGTTAGAATGGCAATCATTAAAAGGTCAGGAAACAGGCCAGGCACAGTGGCTCACGCCTGTAATCCCAGCACTTTGGGAGGCCGAGGCGGGGGAATCACGAGGTCAGGAAATCAAGACCATCCTGGTTAACACGGTGAAACCCCGTCTCTACTAAAAATACCAAAAAAAAAAAAAAAAAAAATTAGCCGGGTGTGGTGGCGGGTGCCTGTAGTCCCAGCTACTCAGGAGGCTGAGGCAGGATAATGGCATGAACCTAGTAGGTGGAGTTTGCAGTGAGCAGAGATGGTGCCACTGTACCCCAGCCTGGGTGACAGAGCAAGAATCCATCTCAAAAAAAAAAAAAAAAAGAAAGAAAGTCAGGAAACAACAGATGCTGGAGAGGATGTGGAGAAATAGGAACACTTTTACATGGTTGGTGGGAGTGTAAATTAGTTCAACTATTGTGGAAGACAGTGTGGTGATTCCTCAAGGATTTACAACTAGAAATACCATTTAACCCAGAGATCTCATTACTGGGTATATAACCAAAGGATTATAAATTATGCTACTATAAAGACACATGCACATGTATGTTTATTGCAGCCCTATTTACAATAGCAAAGAGTTGGAACCAACCCAAATGTCCATCAACGATAGACTGGATTAAGAAAATGTGGCACATATATACCATGGAATACTATGCAGCTATAAAAAAGGATGCAGGGACATGGATGAAGCTGGAAACCATCATTCTCAGCAAACTATCACAAGGACAGAAAACCAAACACCACATGAGCTCACTCATAGGTGGGAAGTGAACAGTAAGGAAACTTGGACACAGGGCAGGGAACGTCACGGGGGGCCTATTGCGGGGTGGAGGACTGGGGGAGGGATGGCATTAGGAGAAATACCTAATGTAAATGACGAGTTGATGGGTGCAGTAAGCCAACATGGCACATGTATACCTATGTAACAAACCTGCAGGTTGTGCACATGTACCCTAGAACTTAAAGTATAATAAAAAAGAAAGAAAGAAAGAAAGAAAGAAGGAAAGAAAGAAAGAAAGAAAGAAAGAAAGAAAGAAAGAAAGAAAGAAAGAAAGAAAGAAAGAAAGAAAAAGAAAACATGGACATGTAAACCATGAATATAGATGACTTTTTATCAGGAGTACTTTGTTTTGTGAACTGGAGAACAAACATTAGAGTTGTATATAAGGTCAAGGAAATATTTTTTGTATGAGCTATTTATGGGTTTAATTTTAGTATTTCTCAACAGGGGTTATTAGCATTTTGGGAAGGGTACTTAGTTATTGTTTGAAAAATTCCCACACATTGCAAATTATTTAGTTATTACTCTCTTCCTCACTAAACCACAGTAGTGTTCCACAATCATTTTGATAATCAAAAACACCTCACCCGCATGTCCAAATATCTCTGGAGTAATGGCATTGACTCTAATTATTAGAGAATCACAACACGGTCTCCCATAATCCATTCTTTTTCTCCCTCAATATTTTATTGTAAGAAATATCAAACAGCAAAGTTGAAAAAATAGTAAAAGATACTTGGATACCTGTGACCTAAATTCAGAAATTAAAATCTTACCAAACTTGCATTATCTACTTACATGCATTTGTATTTATTTTTTATTTCATGAAATCATTTGAAAGGAAGTTGTCAACATCATATTTAACATACTCATCTCCTTAAATTAAGGATACATTCCTACAAAATCACATTATTATTACATCTTAGAACAGAAATAACAAAAATTCCTCAATATCATCTAAAACACAATCCATATTCAAGTTTTCCAATAATCAATTATATATAACTTTTTTCCAAACTGGAACCTAATCAAAATTTACAAGCTTAATTGGTCATTATGGTTTTCAGTATCTTTTAATCTAGAACATTTTTATTTAAGTTTTTTACAACACTGACTTGAAAAGAGACCAGGCCAGTGCCCTAGAGATTAACCTACATTTCAGGTTTTTCTGATTAAGTATGTGTGGTATCATTTAATGTTACTTCCATGTTTCTAGTAAAGTGACAGTTGATCTGAAAGGCCTGGTTAAACTCAGGCTAAAATTTAGGTAATGCTTAGGCACATAATGGAGGTGGCTCTACTATTAATGGTGCTATGCTTGATCATGGAATTGAATCTTTGGTCAGTATACATTGTTGATTGCAGGGAATGAGTGTTTACATTGTTATAGTTTTAGCACTAACACAGGGCTTGGTACATACAGAGTACCAATAGGGTACTCAGAAATACTGGCTTAATGAATGGTGAATAAATGAATGATTTAAACTGATGTTAAGTGATACCTAATAAAACTGAGAGTTGGGTTTTGACACACATGTTCTAGAATCCTTGGTTATAGATCTGAGGAAACAAATTGAGTGTTTGTACACTTAATTGCTGTTACAGTTTTTTGTTGTTTTTTTTTGAGACAGTCTCACTCTGTCGCCAGGATGGAGTGCAGTGGCACAATCTCAGTTCACCGCAACCTCCGCCTCCCAGGTTCAAGTGATTCTCCTGCCTCAGCCTCCCAAGTAGCTGGGACACCAGGCACACACCACCATGCCCAGTTAATTTTTGTATTTTTAGTAGAGACGGGGTTTCACCATGTTGGCCAGGATGGTCTCGATCTTTTGACCTCGTGATCCACCTGCCTCAGCTCCCAAAGTGCTGGGAAAATGCTGGGATTACAGGCATGAGCCACCACGCCCAGCCACTGTTGTAGTTTTAAATCATGTATTTTATAAGGAGCACATAATTTTCTGTTCACTTGAGTGGACCCCTTCCAAGGCCCTGAACTTAATTATTTGTAATTTTAAATCCTTTTTCTTAAAGAAGAATCTCTAAACTGTAACAATATCAGGTTCCAGAAAACCTGGATACACCCTCAGCTCAGATCTTTCCCGGTTAAATCAGTGTCTTTTCTTCTCCCACTCTTTACTGCGAGTAACTTCAGAAATTGTTTTTCGCTCTCTTTAGCCCAATTTTTTTCTTCACTACATTTAGCGGTATCTGAATTAAAATGTATTCATTTTCTGTCCCTCCTCACTAGAACGTAAGCTCATTGATGGCAGGTACTTCATTTGTTTCATTCACTCCTGTGTCCCCAGAACCCAGAATAATGATTGACAAAGAACAGGTGCCAATCAATACATTTTTACTGACTGACCTCAGATCCACCAAACTGCTACATTTCAGCCATGTTTGTGGTACAGCTATGTTTGGCTAGTGGGAGTCCCAGGCTTACGTACCAGCCTCCATGAAGCAGCCATTCATTTTGAGATCCTGTCACATTCTGGCTACTTCCAGAGATCTGTGAGCAAATCCTTACTGTTCAAGAGACCACAGACTTCTCTCTCATTCTTTTGAGCCTTGGTGTCACTTATTATTCTCAGTGAAATCCTTCTTTCCCATGGAAACACCCAAGGATGGCTTGGGTGAACCCCTCTGCTTGGTTCCACCCTAAGTAAAAATAACATTCCATGGAATTATGGTCAAAATTTTTGTAAAGTGAAAATAAAGGCAAATTTAGAAAACTGCTATTTTTATTGATTTATAGTGCTATGCAAATAGAACTTCATTAAGTTTCTAGCACCCTCATATACTAATTCCAATCAGATCACTAGCCCTAAACTCTTATTAAATAGAAATTGGTGGGTGGACATTTCAAGTTAGGAGGGAAAATGTTTTGAAAGCAACTTCTGCTTTCTTCCTTGCCACAAACCTGCCCTGAGGCAAGGAAGCAGAGTTGCTATCAGTTTAAATAAGGGAAGGAAAAGGCAAATACAAGAACACAAACAAAATCTCAAAATTTTTTCTCTCTCACATACATTATTCATTTAATCTTTAAGACAACCACATGAAGCTGATATTCCCACCTGCCAAAATTGAGCATGGTCAGCATGTTTTGGTTCTCATGAATACCTTACTTTGTTTTTGTACTGTGGTCTGTAAAGGAATTTTAAAGCTTTTCCTGGGATTTGATTTGAAGGACAATTGAATGGATCCCTCAACTAAATACTAGTGATCCAAGACAGAACTCATACACTTAAACTTGCCTTCCAGATATTGAAGAAAACTTCATCTTGTAATTTATTCTTGTAATTTCAGTGCCATGGAGAATGACTCTTATTTTTGAAATTCCTTCAGTACAGATATTTCATACAAATTGGCCTTCCTGCCAATTCCTTGCCTTGACACCTTGAGTTGGGTGTGCCACTAAGGCCTATCCTGTAACCTTCACTTAATTAGTCATAATTATTATTACACATACTAATTAAAGTCAGCCAGCTTCCTAAAGTGTAGGACACGTAGACTGGTGGTACATGAGGTAATGTTATAACAGGTAGATGTAACATTAAAACAACAGTGAAGCACTTAGCAAAATATTCTTTTTTCACTATCTTTTAATCTTCCTGATTATGCTACATTGAAAAATCTTAGATTGATGCTCGTATGTCCAACCCTTACCAATATCCCTTTTTTAACAAACTGAGAGCATGGCTTGGGCTCAGGCCCTTGACAGACAACCTAACTAATGTTTTGTTTTCATTGTATTTGCTTTAACAGTCTTATGTCAAGTGAAAATGTTTTTCACTTACCAAAGCAACATAATGTTGCTTTAAAATAAATTTGTCTTAAAAAGGTTAAAGAAAACATTAAGGAAATACCAGTATTTGTGGTTCTTGAATTTGGCAACAAAATTGATAAAGTTTGGGAAATATTAAATTAATTCCTATGAAAGGCACATGTGACATTCTGACACATGATACAGGTTGGGAGTCATGTGCAATGAAGATGAGTTATTTCTTTAGCAGCATAACTGCACTTTAGATTGTTGCCAGACACTCATCTGATTCCCAGTTTTGGGAGACCAAAGAAGTTTCATGAGCATATCAGCTAATACTTGTACTGTGATAGGCTTAGTTTCTTGAAATGAAGTCGGATGTGGCAGAAAATTTACCCTAAAGTAAATTAGAAACTCACCTTGTAATCCAGAGGCAAGGCAAAGGATTAGATGCTATGATCTAGAAATCAGGATTGATCTAGCAATGGAGTCTGAAGCAAGTTAGGGTGGTTCCGTGTTGGTTCTGGTCAACTCCCTGTGTAGGACTAAATAAATTATGATGTGAACAGATTGTAAACTTTTCTCCAAAAAATTTTTTTTTTCTACTTTTGAGACAGAGTCTTGCTCTGTCACCCAGGCTGGAATGCAGCGGTGTGATCTTGGCTCACTGCAACCTCTGCCTTCTGGTTCAAGTAATTCTCCTGTATTCTCGGGTTCAGCCTCCCGAGTAGCTGGGATTACAGGTGCATGCCACCACACTCAGCTAATATTTTTATTTTTAGTAGAGACAGGGGTTTTGCCATGTTGGCCAGGCTGGTCTCGAACTAGTGACCTCAGGTGATCCGCCCACCTTAGCTTCCCAAAGTGCTGGGATTACAGGCATGAGTCACCCTGCCCAGCCTTTTCTTCAGGTTCTTAAATAAAACATTGGAAAGAAATTATTATGCAATGGAAGAGAGTTTGGCCCAGGTGTAGAATACAGAAGATTTAGAAACAAGGTCTTTGTTGACTGTTCTATTCTCAAGTGTATAAACGTAAATTAGTATCTCAGATTTAAATTAGGGATAATTTTTTTTTTTTTTTGTAAAGATAGGTTCTAGCTCTGTCGCTCAGGCTGTAGTGCAGATAGCTCACTGCAGCCTCGAACTCCTGGACAGAGTTCTCCTCAGCCTCCCAAAGTGGTAGGATTACAGGTGTGAGTCACTGTGCTGGGACTATGTGTGTCAATAAAAAATTTTGCTTGTTCTGGAATTAACCCAAGGTCTTCAGTACCATTAATTCACTAACAACAATTAAAAAAAAAACCCTCCCTAAAGACAAAGTAGGTGGCAGTTGAAGAGCACTTTCAATATTAACATAGAGTATCTTGAACCTTAGAGCCACGAAAGAAGAAAAACTAAATTCAGTGAAATTTGCACGTGATAACAGTCTTGGTGTTGGTTGGTTGGTTGGTTTTTCCCTGACAGCTTCTGGGAACTGAATGAACTTAATTATGTTTTATTAATAAACTATTATTAATTTTGCATCCTGAAATAAGTGCTTGAATCAGGAATAGCATACTTCCCACTAAACTCCTTTTGCCTGAATGAAAACTTGAGATACCCATCTATATTTCAAGGGCACTTTTAAGAGCTACCAAATATGCCATAACATTCTTGGAAAACAGTATATGCTGTCAGTTTGCCTAGGTAGAGAGAGGAGCTGATAAGGAAATCCTCTAGTTCCTTTCTTTTATTCTGAGCTGTATTCTGTGGATAGGGATTTTGCATTTCACTGCTAACAATGTTTTTCAGCACCTAACACCATGAATATTCAAAGGTCTGATGTTATCATTAATGTATGTTATGAACATACAATGGTACATCTTATGAAAATTACATTCATTTTCTATTTCTACAATGTTTTCAGAGGAAATATTTTTACCCTAACCTGGATTCTATTACTATCCTATTAATTGTGGTTCAGAAAATTGTCTCACAGGCAGAGTAGTTTCTTAATTATATTTTACTCAATAATTTTCTCAATATGATAGGCTGTGTAGTCTACTGGAAAAGGCATTATGCTGACAGTAAGAAAAGCTTATTTGTTCACTGCTCCATCTCCAGCACCCAAAACAATGCCTTACCCAGAACAGATGCATAGTATTTGCTGAGTGAATTCTAATCCTACTTCTGGGTAAAATTAAGTAAATTATCTAGTTCTTGAGGGACTCAATCTAGACGACCCCTAATCTTCCATGGTAAGGTTTTGTGGTTTTTGACTTTTCTAAATGCTCTAAAAATAGTAGTGGATAATAACGATATAGTGTTCAGTAAAATCAATTGGTGGAGATTGTAGATAGATGGCTCATAAGACATCAGTATTACAAATCCTATCTGTGTGCGCGTGTGGTCATACAAGGCAAAGTTAAAGTCTTTTTTTATGAAGATGATAAATTACAGTCTTGTTTGGGCAAGTGAACTCAAGAGGTGGTTCAAATAAATGTCATATTTTTCATTGTATATTCAGTGCCTAGTACAGTTACTGGCTCATAGTAGGTATTCAAAAAATAGTGGTTGAATTAATAGCCTTCATTAACATTCCGTTTAAATACTAGACGCAGCTAGGTCTCTAACCCTCCTTAGAAAGAGATAGAGCTGTAACCAGAAATCCCTTAAAAGGTAAGGACCAGTAATCAGGCTGAGCTAAGCTCATCATGGGTCCTACGAAACAGGCTTAAAGCACTGAAGGAAGAGAACTCAAGCGTGAGAGAAAGCAAAACAAAAGTAAAGAGAAGAGGAAAAACATTTCTAAAGTGGGGGTTGGCAGGAAGCCACCGCAATTACCGCAGGTCAACCCTGGCCAATAGGTGGTCACCTCAAGAACTTACCATTAAAACCCTCGGCTACACAGACCTCACTTTTAAAAGGTTATTAATTCTGACATGCCCAAGTTCATCTGAGTTCCTTAGAGCAACCACCAGCACCTACTTCACGACCTATCCTCCATTCCATTCAAATAACGCAGCCAATAGGAAAATCCTCCGCCTTGAGCCAACGACTCGGCGTAGCTGAAACAGGCCGGGAGGCAGATCTGCCCTGTAGACCCTTGCAGTTCCACTGCTGGCCTCCGGATTACCGGGAGCCCCCAGCCCGGCAGGACAACCTTCCTTCCCCGCTTCCTCCTTTCCAGGTCTGTCCCAGCCCCCGCTGCCTGGGCCACACCCGCTTCCCTCCGGTGGCCCAGCCACCCCCGCCGCAGTTCGCGGGAGCGCCTTTCCTGGGGCGGGCCCAAGCCCAGGGCGCATGCGCACTGGTCGAAGGGCACCTCCCAGTCCGGATCTCGCGAAGTTACGTTAGATTGGCCGCCAGTGACGGGTGGCCGTGCTGGGGGCGGGAGGGCTTCTGTTGTAGGAAGGGAGGTCCGCTCGGCCGGGCGCGCCGCCCCAGTGCTCTGTGGGATACTGGAAGTCTCGAGCGTCTCCTCCCGGTTCCCAGCCTTCCTCTGGCCCTCACTCATAGAAACATTCACACACCCCCTGCCTCCCCTCTCTTCCCTCTCCGCCTCCCCCTTCCACCCCTCGCGATAAGAAGACCCGGCGGCAGGAGAGGGGATGAAGATGGCGGACGCGAAGCAGAAGCGGAACGAGCAGCTGAAGCGCTGGATCGGCTCCGAGACGGACCTCGAGCCTCCGGTGGTGAAGCGCCAGAAGACCAAGGTGAAGTTCGACGATGGCGCCGTCTTCCTGGCTGCTTGCTCCAGCGGGGACACGGACGAGGTCCTCAAGCTGCTGCACCGCGGCGCCGACATCAATTACGCCAATGTGGACGGACTTACTGCCCTGCACCAGGTCTGTGCGCCTAGTCGCCGGCTCTCCTGACCCTGAGGGTCCTCGTCGGCCTCCCGCCGGGGCCTGCCCTCAGTTCTCCACCTCTTGAGGCTGGGGGCGGCGGGAGACTGCTGCGGGGTGAGGGGGCGGTTTCCCGAGAGGGCGGGAGGGAGAGCTGGTGGAGGGGAGGGCGCTGGGCTTGAGGCCCCCTTCAGAACAGTTGCTGGTGGAGTTGGGAACCGGGTGATTTCCGGGGCACAGGGGAAAAGGAACTGTGGTCGTCTTGGGGCCCCAGGGCCTTTGGTGCGATGAGTCTGGGATTTGGGGTCGAGACAAGGAGGGGTGTAGTGGGGTTGTGCCTGGGCCCCCGTGTCAGTGATAAATTCGGAGGGGTGGATGCTGAAGGAAGAAAACTAACAAGAGGCATTAGGGACGCTTAGGCAGATGAACATCTTTGACTTGTAGGTAGGCATTGGATTTGTTGCACTTTTGAGGACTTGATTACAAATGATGATGATAATAGTAATCTAGAGCCCTAAGCCGAGTGCCCTGAGCGAACGATTTCCTGTTTTCTCATTTATTACTCTTGGTCACTGGGGAGGGGAAAACAGGGTGTAATTAGCTGATCTGCACCGGCTGAAAGGAAGGGGATGGAAATGGGTAGAGTAAGGAAGCCCTCTAAAGGGTTTGCCCACCTCCGGACCGGAACGTGTTGAGTCTGATACTCGAAGTTTGCCGCAATGTCAGAGATCCTTGAGCCCCAGGTCCTGGGGTGTGCACTGGTGTTAGAAAGAGAAGAATAAATAGGGGACACTCTTTTCAAAGCCGGTTACCAAGCTCTGATTTTTCTTTTGGGGGTGGGAAGAAAAAAAGACTGGTCACAAACTTTTCTCAAAATGGATGCTTTGTGCATGTTAAAGTTTTATAGTAGTCTGATTGGGATCTCTCAATGTTAGCCAAATAAGGAGAAACTATTGGCAATCCAGAGATAATGTTGCCTTGCCTTTAACAGGCCAAAAGCAACACAACCATGTAGAGTTCTGCATAAAAAGCAATTTTTAAGTGATGGTAATAGGTGACAAGACATAGGCTTTTTCGATTTTCTTGGCGGGCAACTTGGAATAACTATAATAGAAAATGACTTTGCAGCAATAGCTTTCCCTTACAATGAAAAGACTTTTAAGCTATCTCAAAGTTGCCTTGGTTGTATGTGGAAGATGCATAGCCTTATTTCGAGTAATGCTGTAGTAAAAACTTGTTTGGGAGGTTGAAAACTCAAGGCTTTATTATATTTCATGAATATTAACTTGATGCCTTTTTAAAAGAGGTGTGTAGTGACATTTTTCCTTGTATTGCTTACTGTTTAAGGGAGTGATGACCATTTTAAATTTTATGTAATGGAATTCTCGTATCAGACTTGGAGTAAACTTTGTTTACAAAGTTGACTGGATACATTGAAATTATTGACAAATTGCAGGACAAATATGGAATTAAAAATGTGGCACCCAGTAAAAATATAACAGGGTATCTAGCGTTTTTTCTATTTCATTAATTTAGATTCTCTAATGCATAGCAAACTTTTTATTTGGGTGAAGTTTATTTAAGGCATATCATAACTCTTAAGATTTTAAAACCATGGTGTTGAGAATGAAAGAAACTTTTGGCATTAAAAATGATAATGTAATTATGTAAGATGAATCTTCAAATTTCTTTCAAGTGTACTTTACACGTTTTAGTGTTTTAGTGTGAAATAGACTTTGATTATTACTGTAGGAGGTCAGGATAATTGGATAATTGTTCGCATCAATATGTTTTATTCAAATCGTCAAATAGAAATTTAAAGTTACTATTGTTGTGGAGGAACCCAATTGTATTGGCCTGGAGGAAGACGAAAATTTATGATATTTACATTGTTGTAATACTGGTTTAGGGAGGAAGAGAAAATACATTTAACTGTCTTCTTAAGATCTTTTTTCCTCCTCTCAATATTCACATGTTGCAAGAATTGTCAGACTTACCAATGTCTTCCTGATTAACTGAGTTCAGTGGTCAGTTTGGTGTTGTGTAGCTGTATCTTTATTGGGTATTTTGTTTTAGTTGACAAACACTTAAACAGAAGTTTCTAAATTTACACCATTTGCATAATACCTTTCTGTCACTTTTTGTCACTATGAGTGTTTGACCCGATAATTTCCAACCGCCTCCCCTTTTCCATAACATTTTTCCTTATCTGCAAATTCCTTAAATCAATGAAGCCAAAATCTTTAAAATATCAAGCATTAAAATTTTTGTTATGTTTTCTTCACTCTCATTTCTTATTTATCAACTCTTGTACTTTTTTCCCATTGTTACTATGAAAATAGGGAGTTCACTTTGGGCAAATTTAGGACAACAGCTAGTGAAAGACAGTAAATAAACACACACACAAGAAAATTTTAAACTTTTAAGAAAAATCTCTAAACTTAGCTTGTTTTCCATACTTAATTCGAAATACTAAAATCACTGATTTAATAGTCCTTGAATAGTTTTTTAAAAATTTAACCTCAAAAGATCATAGAATACCTAAAATGTTTTACTGGGTTAATTATTGTTTATTCTTTTTTGAATATTTATTTACTTTTTGGTTTTGATCAAGTGTTCTAAATTTCATTGTCTAGAGAAAAGTTTTAGGAACGTCACAACCCACAAATATACTTTTACAAAATACAAAATCTAGTATTTTGCTTTTATTTTAAATATAAACAGCTTATATTGAAAGGTTTATTAATTTGTTGAATGTGCTCCCTCATTAGAAGTTATAAAAGATATCCAGTCTTCAGCTGTTCTTTTTGTATAGAAATATGTTCTCTATATAGAAGAAAAAGCAGTGTTTCTTGTCAAATTTCCTATCTTAGTCTCCAGAATAGCCTTTCTTCCCCACCCACTCCACCCGGGACCTGACCCCCAAAGCTACAAAACAGCACAGAGTTAACCATAGATATAAATTTCCGGTTTTCTAGTACCAAGGTCTAGAGTAGAATTTCATTATTACCAATGAGGCAATAATCAGCTTCTGATTTCATAGCTACCTGGTAGAGTTTTACAGTATGTGATTATATCTCTATTTTGGCATACTTTATGAAGATTTAAGGAGATTAATAAGGTTATATATAGAATGCCTTATTGCTGATTCTTACTGATACTGGTATGCATAAAATACAGGGCTGAGATTTTTCTCTAGCAGTTTTGAGTTTAGCCTGTTGATTTTAACCTTAAAATCTTTTCTTTTTCCTCTGCGCCAGTGACTTCCAAGTCAGTTTACAGTTCCGTCATTTCTGCAAAGCTCCAAGCCTCATTTCCATTTTTTTGGGTTATGTATTGATTTAAAATGAAATATTATTAAATGTATTGCAATTTTATGTTTAATAATGTCTTTTAAGTAGTAATATAGTAAATAGAAGTTCACCCCCTTTGCCATAGAATGGCAACTACTGTATTCACGTTAACCTTTGTGATTTCTTCAAAGGATTTCTTGCTGTTCAAACATAGATTTTCATAGTTGCAATTCAGTATTATAATTTTACGTTTATCCCTTAACATTAGAGGTACTTCTTTAGACTTTACCAGCATCCTTTTTAACTAATTATTTTAAAGTACTATTAATTTGGTTATAAGACTGTTTTACATCATTGTCAGGAATTTCTTTAAATTCAGCCTACAACAGGTCTATCTTTCCTCATCAAGCCTACTCTTCTCATTGATGTCCCTGTTTTTGTCAGTGATCTTTAGATCAAGTTAAACATTTTAGTTATTGTTTACTCATTCCCCTTGTCTATGTATAATCCAGTCTATCTTCTAGCTCAGTCTTTTCTTTACAATTACCTTGGCATCAGTTCTTTTCCTTGCCATTCTTTACTGGCAACCTAGTTCATACCTTTATTATTTTATTTTTTTTTTTTTGAGACAGAGTTTCATTCTTGTTGCCCAGACTGGAGTGCAGTGATGCTATTTTGGCTCACCGAAACCTCCACCTCCTGGATTCAAGCGATTCTCCTGCCTCAGCTTCCCAAGTAGCTGGGATTACAGGCGTGTGCCACCACGCTCAGCTAATTTTGTATTTTTAGTAGAGATGCGGTTTCTCCATGTTGGTCAGACTGGTCTTGAACTCCTGACCTCAGGTGATCCACCCACCTCCGCCTCCCAAACTGCTGGGATTACAGGCGTGAGCCACCGCACCTGACCTTATTTTTATCCCTAGAGTATAGTAATAGCTTAATTGTTTTTCCTGCCTCTGTTCACTCCCTGATTTAATCTAGCATGCATATTGCTGTCATATTAATCTTTGAACAGTATCACTCTGATGATGTCACTCCTCTCTCTGAATTTGGATATAATACATTTTATCCTTTAGCTTATGGTTGATATATCTCCATTGTGTTGTATCCTTTATAGAAAT